TAGATTCACTCTTTCGAAAGCTGTAAACTGCATTTGCATGCGAATTTTTATTCGCGCCGTGGAACTTGTCAAAGTTCGTAAAAAATGTTGAGATTCGTCGGGTCTCCCTTTCTATCCGTGTAATTCCATGAAACATCAGTAGGATCGTTTTCTCAAGTACCGATTTGGAAAGTAGAGATTTCAAGCTGTAAAATGCTTTTTTGATCATTTCGATACGATCATTTTTGACGAAGTTACACTCTTTTGAATTTTGCCTATTTTTGGAGGCTAGAACAGGTGATCCTTTAATTTTTTGGACCAGTGTATATAAATTATATAAAAAATAAAATGAAATGGAACATGAAATGAATTAAATAAAAAAATAAAGAATGATATAAGTAAAATTAATAAAATAAAATAAATAAACAAATAAAATAAAAAATAAAATGCTACAAAACAAAAATAAAATATAATAAAATAAATAAGAAATAAATATTAAAATGTATAGTAAAAAAGACAAAACAAAATAAATATTATGTATTTGTGTGAATAATAGGTTCTTAGGAATGTAACACTAATCATGCCTAAAAAGTAATTTTTCTAAAGTAGTTTTGTTTATCTTGATACTTAAACAATAAGGATAAAATGGTTTCGTAAACGCTGTATTTTATTATAATTGATCTAAAAAATCAAATTGGTATTATCTTTAATGTATAATATAATCACTAAAATCTATTTGTAAATATTATACCTCGAAAAAATCTGTTGTATTAATTTAAAAAAATTCATATGGTATTATCTTTAATGTATAACACGATCACGCAAAATTATTTTATTATTAATGAAACAAAAACTTAGCAAAAATTAGTGAAATCCGTGGAAAAGACATTAAAAATGTAAAAAAACCGCCAAGTATATTTTTTAACGTTTTTATCTCGAAAAAATTGTATCAGATTGAAAAAAATAAGACCTTAGTATCATCTTAAATATATACTACGACTTCGGAAAAAAACTGTTGTTAAATCATAAAAAAAACCCTAAGTGGCATTATCTTCAATATATAACAATCACGGAAAATTATTTTGTAATTAATATACCTTGAAAAAAACTATTGTATCAAATTAAACAAACAAAATCCAAGTTGTATTATCTCTAACGTATACATGATTTAAAAAAAATTTAATTTAATAAATTAGAAATATAATATTACCAAAAAGCAGTGAAATTAAAATATTATTTCAAGTGTATTTATTGTAATTGAATTAAAAATTAGAAAAAATAGTATACTTCGAAAAAAATATTTTATCAAATTAAACAAATAAAATCCAAGTTGTAGTATTTTCAATATATACGTAAAAAATAAAAACAAGAAGTGCAATAAATAGCGTAATGAGGACCGCAGTAATTAAAACGGGATTTCGATAACAAGTAGCAAATTACGTGATAGAAAAATCAAAAATAGGAAGAAATCTCCAGCAGCAGCATACTTGGCGCGCCCGTTTTTTATATATAAACTCATGGAAATATAATGCATGCAATTCATGCTAACAATACATTATTTATTAATAGTAAATATTTTATGTAAATTGTAACGGTGCGCCCGAAAATGCACCGTTCCTCGGCAAACGCCAGTCGGGAAGCCGGTTGACTATCAGTCACCGGGAGGCGCAACTTCGGTTGCGCTCAAGGGCGCGGTGCGCCCCTTTATAATTCCGAATAGCAAGCAAG